AATATATTTCTTTATTCATAATTGATTCTTGTGTACTAACAATTAGTATCTAGAGCTCCGGTTTTGATCCACGGGGAAAGACACGGAAACACGAGTAAAATGTGAGGCGTTTGTGTGATTAATTTTGGTTCTGGGTTCGTGTTGAATCTTTGAATAAAATTTGAACATAATCATATTTTTTCTGATTCTGTGGGGTTGGGAAACATTGTGCTTGTAATATTTGAGTGAGTTGTACAAGGTTAAGGATGAACGGAAACGATAATATGAGTACCAAAATTCCTATTTTTGATAGAAAGAACTGGAACAGATGGATGATTCAGATGTACATGCTATTTGGTGCTCAAGATGCGCTTGAGCTTGTTACCAATAACTATGTTCCGGTTGCAGCAGATGTGACGAAAGAAGAGAAAAATGAACATAGAGATAAGAAGAAGAAAGGTCAGAAGGCATTGTTCTACATCCATCAGTGTTTGGATGTGAATATGTTTGAGAAAATTGCTTATTCGACGACATCGAAGAAGACATGAGACACACTGGTTAGATGCTATGGTGGTGACGCATCAGTGAAGAAGGTAAAGTTTCAGTCCTTGGGAAAGTAATATGAGAATCTCAACATGAAGAACAATGAGAAGGTTTCTGAGTATATCTCTAGAGTGATTATGATCACTAATGAGATGAAGGATTATGGAGAAACCCTTTATGAACAAGTAATTATTGAGAAGATATTGAGGCCACTTACTCCTCAATTTGATTACATTGTTGTAGCAATTGAACATTCTAAAGATCTGGAAACCATGAGAATAGAAGAGTTGCAAAGCAATTTAGAGGAGGATGAGTTGTATCTGACTGAAGGAACTTCTGAGAGAGAAGTTTAGCATGATCTGAGGCTTGTTTTGTCAAGAAAGACCAGAAGCATTCTTGGTCAGAAACCAGGAATAGACATGGTGATAGATTCCAGAAGTCAGAAACTTCTACTTCTGATGAGAAGAAACATCATAAGGGTAAGGAGAAGTTTGACAAGAATAAGGTTCAATGTTACTATTGTAAATAGTTTGGCCATTTTGCTAAAGATTATTGGTCAAATAAGGGAAGAAAATCATAAGAAGCAAATATATCCATAGGAGATTCTGGTGATGAACATGTACTACTGATGGCTTCTGAGTCTGATGGAAAATGCTTGGCAGACTGGTGGTATGTGGACACTGGATGTTCAAATCACTTGACTGGAAACAAACAATGGTTGATAGATTTTGACTCCAGAAGGAGGACAAAGGTCAGATGTACTGATGATAAATACTTTAATGCAGAAGGTATGGGAAATGTTAAAGTTAAAGTGAAGAATGGGAAGACCGTTATGATCAAGGATGTTTGGTATGTTCCTGGAATTAAGAGCAATCTGATGAGTGTGGGTCAACTCATTGAGAAAGGTTTCTTATTTATTATTAAGGACAATCGCTTGAAATTGTATGATGCTAATCAGAAGCTAATTATGCAATTAGAACGAGGAAGCAATAGGACATTCAAGATGAATATGGAGATAATAGAAGCAGGATGTCTTAGTTCAGAAGACACTGGAGCTGATAGTAAGTTGTGGCATAAGAGGTTGGGGAATCTGAACTATAGAAGCTTAGGGCATCTGAGTTTTAAGAAGCTCGTATGTGGCATTTCGAAGATTGTGAGGCCTGAGAAATTATATGAGGTATGCATGAAAGGAAAGCAACCCATATTTTCATTTGTGTCAGAATTAGCCCCAAGAGCAAAACATGCTTTGGGAGTAGTGCATTCTAACGTATGTTGACCATTTCTAAAACCTTCACTTGGAGGAAATAGATATTTTGTGTCTTTTATGGATGAGTTCACAAGAAAAACATGGGTAACACTCATAAAATTTAAACATGAGGTGTTTACCGAGATCCAGAAGTTCAAGGTGAAGGTGAGAAACAAAGTGGTCTAAAGATGAAGATTCTCAGAACGGATGGTGGAGGTGAGTATAACTCTACAGAATTCCAGAAGTTATATGATGAGAATGGAATTGAGCATGAGGTTACTTCTCCTTATACTCCTCAACACATTGGTCTTGATGAAAAAAGAAATCATACTTTGCTTGATATGACCAGAAGCATGCTGAAAGAGAAGAAGCTACCTCATAACTTGTGGGGAGAAGTTGTAGCCACGTCAACGCATGTGCTCAATAGGTGTCCAACAAAGAAGTTGAGGGAAATTGTTCCTTTAGAAAAATGGTCTGGATACAAGCAAAGTGTTAGTCATTTGAAGGTGTTTGGTTCTGTATGTTACAAACACATTCCAGAAGCTAGAAAGAAGAAGTTGGATGATAGAAGAAAAATAATGATTCTGGTGCGATACCATAGTACAAGTGCTTACAAGCTTTACTGTCCAACATCGAATAAAGTTGAAGTCAGGAGAGACGCCATTCTAAAAGAATCAGAAGTATGGGATTGGATAAAGTCTCAATCTATTTCTGAAGATAAGACAGAACTTGACAGTTCTAAAGAAGAGTCTGAGTCAACTGATGATTCTGAAAACTCTGAAGATGAGTCAGATGGTGAATCTGATTCTGATCCAAATTTTGATGATGATTCATAATTTGGTGGTGGTCATGCTTCTGGAAGGGAAAACTTTGAAGATGTAGGTTCTGGAGGAAAAGCTTCTGAAGATGGTCATGTTTATGGTGAAGGTCATGACTCTGAAGGAGGAACTTCAGAAGGTAGAGGTTCTGAAGACAATCCAACTTTTGCTGGTGGTCAAGTATCTGATATTGTTCCAGAATCAGAAAGAGTGTCTGAACAAGTTCAGAGGCCACAAATAATTATACAAATACCAAGAAGGTTTGCAGAGTTTAACATGTTACAAGACACTGAAGTAGATCCAGAAGGAGAAATTGTTTAGTGTGTCATGTTAGTAGACTCTGAACCTGTGAGTATTGAAGAAGCTCTCAAGAAAAAAATATGGCTGAATTCCATGAAAGAAGAACTTGAGGCTATAGAAATAAATAAGACTTTGAAGCTGACTAAGCTTCCAGATATGAAGAAAGCCATCAACGTCAAATGAGTTTTCAAGGTCAAATATAAGTAAGATGGATCAATTGGCAGACATAAAGCAAGGCTAGTGGCTAGAGATTTTCTTCATAAATCTAGGCTAGATTACTTTGAGGTATTTGCGCCTGTAGCTAAACATGAAATAATCAGACTGGTGATTGCTTTAGCTGCAAATAGAAATTAGCCTCTAATGCATCTGGATGTGAAGTCTTCATTTCTGAATGGTCCATTGCAAGAAGAGGTATGTGTGTTACAATTTTCTGGATTTGTGAAAAAGAATCAGGAAGAAATGGTGTACAAGTTACATAAAGCTCTCTATGGATTGAAGCAAGCGCCCAGAGCTTAGAATTTGAAGATTGATTCATTTTTCAAGAAGTAAGGTTTTCAGAAGTGTGAGATGGAAAATGAGTTTATGTGCAACATTCTGGAGGCGGTATGATTCTGGTATGTCTTTATGTTGATGACATATTGCTAACGGGAAGTTGTCCAGAAAGTATAATCAAGTTCAAGGAGGTACTGATGAATGAGTTTGAGATGATTGATCTGGGAAATATGGTATATTTTCTAGGGATGAAGATCTTGTACTCGGAGAAGGGCATCATTTTGCATTAGCTGAAGTATGAACTTGAGCTTCTAAAGAGATTTAAGCTGTAGAATTGTAAAGTTGTTGTTACACCATTAGAAATCAATCATAAATTGGATTCTGACTCTGATGGTGAAGATGTGGATGCTACAACCTTTAAACAGTTGGTTGGTTCTCTAAGGTATTTGTGTAATACTATACCTGATATTTGCTATGCAGTTGGAATGGTTAGTAGGTTCATGAGTAAACCTAAGTGGTTCCATTACCAAACCGCTGTCATGATTCTGAGGTATATCAAGGGAACTCTGAAGTTTTGAGTACTATTCCCTTCTGGAAGAAAGACAGATTCAAAGTTGATGAGTTATTCTGATTCTGATTGGCGTGGAGATAGACTTAAGAGAAGAAGTACTTCTGAATACTTGTTTAAGTTTCTGGGAGGTCCTATTTCTTGGTGTTCCAAGAAGCAATTCGTTGTTGCTCTATCAACGTGTGAAGTCGAGTATATTGCATGTGTTGTAGCTGCTTGTCAAGTTGTGTGGCTTCTGAATTTATTGCAGGATCTGAAGATCAACGTTGTTAACTCTCTGAAACTGATGATTGATAACAAATCTGCAATCACTCTTGTTAAAAACTCAGTACTACATAGGAGAAGCAATCATATTGAAACAAAGTATCATTTTCGCAAAAGTCAAGTCCAGGACGGAGTATTAAAAGTTGTGCACTGTAACACCTAGAAGCGGCTAGCAGATATCATGACAAAGACAATCAAGACTGATCAATTTCTAATTGTTTTTTATAACTTAGTTAATAAGTCTATTCTATTAGAACCTACGTGACATTCTTTTTGTGTATGAATAAACTAATTGTAAGTATCATAAATATACAATAAAATTTTACAGCCGTCATTATGTTTACTCTCTTAAATATATTCCTTTATTCATTGTTGACTCTTGTGCACTAACACGTGCAATACTGAATTACTAAAACTGATATGGTGATGCTTTTGTACACATTTATAACATAATGTTTTTTACCATCACGCTTAAATACAAGCATTCGTTGCTTGTCAGTTGTCAGATATAAACCGAGTAAAATTTGAATTAAGCTAAAATACATTTATATAAATTAAATTTTCTCGTGTTATATAACTAGCATAACACCCCACTAAAATATCACAGATGATTCCTCATGTTTTGCTGAATAACTCGTGGAAATTCCCTCAAAAAATGGTGCTTAATCTTTAAACTTGACATGCAAAGTGACTTTTCCCCAAGAGCAATTTTCTTCAGTCTTCAGTAAGAGGAGTTAAGAGTAGTTGTTGTGATTGTTTTCTCTGCATACCAATCAGATTCGAACACAAACTATGTCACTCCAGTGAGTTCAGTGTCCTCCATAGAAATACTATCCTTTATTCCTTGTATCATCTTAAGAACTTGCCACATAGCTGGCCTCTGCTCCGGTGATGTCGCACTGCAAATACTGGCGACTTCGGTGAGCATTTCTAACCGGTTATCTTCGCTAAAATCATCATCCCTCATAGCTCTAACCCAGTCTTGTAACTCCATTGGCGCAAGGAAAGGATGTTTGGAAGGATGTTTGCCCGTCAAAAGCTCCAACAGCAGCACACCAAAAGCATACACATCAGACTTGGAACTTGCCCTGCGGTAAGATTTTCGAACCTCGGGGGCTTGGTAGGCTGCAGAATCAGGATCTTCTGTGAATGAAGAATCCATAAGGAAGGCCAAACAATAGTCGGTTATGCAAGCTTCAAAGTCTCCTCCAAGAAGGACATTAGAGGATTTTAGATTTCCATGAATCAAGGACGAAACTTGATGTATATAAGCAAGTCCATGAGCTACATCTTCTGCTATTTTTAAGCATGACGTCCAATGCAGCGGCTTCGCTCTCGCTGATCTTGAACCTGCACTTGCAACAATTACATTAGTTTTTAGAAATAATCACCAAATATCAAATAGGGCATATCCAAATTGATTGATGCCAGTTTGAATGTAGGAGCATTAATAAGAATAAAACTTGATTTTTCTAAGAAAAAAAAGTAAAAAATATTGAAACAACAATGGAAAAAACATAGTAGTCAACTTAACATGCCAAACATTCAAATTCGATGAAACATTTAGCCTTAATAGTCAAACATAGTACAAAAACAACCCAACTTTGAAAATGTGAGTATTAATGACATACAACTCTCAAGCAAGCTGAATTCAACTCTCTCTCTCTGTTCACACATCTTGATTATAGCTTACATTTTGAAATATATTTTAAAGCAATTTTGATAAAACTTAAATACAAACCTTCCAATCTTTCATCCTTGACAGTGATTATCCTAAAAAACAAAGGAAGCTGAGTCCCAAAACCATATAAACAATAGAGGCAATGATAAAAGAAACAACAAGGACAACCAATAGCAAAACAACACAACACATCATCCATAAAATCAAACTCTAATTCCAACACCATGCCCCACAAATTTTGCCCACCCTGTTCTTCCATCTGTTCCTTTTTCATCACAATTAGGCATAATAACATACGTTGACTAAGTTTGAGTTCAGGGTTTGGGTTTTCTCTGTTTAGAAAATATGAGAACGGGTCGTTAATGTGGATTGTTTGGGATTTGGGTTTGGGTATGGGGAGCTAAAAACTGTCCTTGACCCGCCCCGTTACCTTGTCTAATCAGAATCCAAACCCATCTCCCGTTTCCACCGCTGCAGCGTTCCAATTACCGAATTTGACAGTACAAAATCAAATATCATAAGTGTAACAACTCACTAGAATTAGAAACTAAAAGTATCACATTGACATCACACACTAAATCATCATAATAATAAGGTAAATGCTGCAAAACACAAATGCTTAATAATGAATGAATACCATGAACAAGATTGAAGAGGCTTCCATTAGGTTGAAAATCATAGATAACAAGCCTCTCTCCTTTCGCTTGGAAAAAAGCCTTCAAAGGAACCAAATTAGGATGCCGAAGTCTCCCCACAATCTCCATATGCTTCTGAAATTCTTCACCACTCATCACACCACTTTTTCCGGCGTCCAGCCTCTTCACCGTCAATATCCCCTTTGAATCCATCACCGCCTTGTAAGTGGTCCCCACACTCCCTCTTCCCAAAAGCTCCGCCGAAGCTCTCATCAGCTGCTCTAACGTATACTCCTGCACCTCCCCACAGCAGAACACTAACTTCCCACTCCTATGCGCTTCCTCCATCATCTTCACCTTCGTAACGGCTTCCACTTCGGTTCTTGCCTCCAATCCCGCCACCGCCGGTATAGTTTCCGACGCCGATGATTCAGATTTTGATTTCGATATTGCTCCGGTGTTGTTTTTTCTAACTAACCCGATTATAATCAGCGTAAAAACTAGGAGAATCGCAACAGCAACTATTAAACCGAAAACCAAACCGGTTTTTTTATGGTTATTTTTCTTGGAAGGAGAAGGAAGCACGAGGATACCTTGCGATTCGGCGCTCTGACTCAACGGTGCAGAGGAAGAAACGGTGGCGTTTGATGAACCGAAGAATCTAGAACGATGAGTACATTGTTTGTGAATAATCTCACCGCAGAGACCGGGATTCTGAGAAAAAAACAGCGGTTTGAAGCGTGTGAGAGTTTGAGTGACAGGAACCGGACCGGTGAGGTTATTGGTAGAGACGTTAAATAGTTTTAATTCGGTTTGGTTGAGAGGAGGAAGAGGACCGGTGAAGGAGTTGGAGTCGAGTCGAAGCGAAATGAGACGGTCGAGGAGGGTTAACCGAAGCGGAAGTGAACCGGTGAGGTTGTTATGAGAGAGGGAGAGAGTAATGAGGCGGTGGAGGAAGAGAATGGAAGGAGGGAAAGAACCGGAGAAGTTGTTCCGGTCGAGGAAGAGTGATTTGAGGTTGATGAGAGGTGAGAGATCCGGGATGGGTCCGGATAAGGAGTTGTTACGGAGGCTCAAGACTCGGAGTTGGTCGAGGCGGGTTAGGGTGTTGGGAGGGAAGAAACCGGTTAGGGAGAAGCTTTGGAGGACGAAGCGGACTACTCTGCCCTGCGCGCATTTTACGCCTTGCCATTGGCAGTAGTCGTAGGGCTCGTTGAGTGTGTAGAGGAGTTTGTTGGTTTGGTCGGCGGTTTGTTTGAAGGAGAGTAATGATATGGCGTCTTGAGGGAGGGTTGAGTTTGTTGAGGAAGATACTGTGAAGGTGAGGGAGTAGAAGAAGAGAAATAGTATTAAACGAAGCATGGTTTAGATTTTAGAGAGGAAAATGTAAAACATGTTGTGGAAACTGGTAAGAAAAAGAACAAGAGTGAGCTTGTGTGTGAATGAAAAACAAGAGAGTGAGGTTGAAGTGGTGACAGTGTGCTAAGTGATAGTAGTGGTAGTAGTGGTAATGGCTAGAGGTAGAAAGTAGTGCGGAGCAGCTGGTTCAAGTAGTACTCACGTGAAAGTGGGGAACGGTGGAAATTTGTTTCGGATTTTACTTCGTTTCTATATTTATGTATGTATGTGTGTGAACTCAGTTTTATTTTTTTTATTTATTGCTTTTTCTCTTTCGTTTTCTTTCTTCCCATGAAAGAAAAGAAATTTTTTAGAATATGAATTTGGTGGCTTTTATGATACACAACTTGTTTAACTTTGTGTGACTAAAGTGTGAGTACACTGTTTATATAGTCAGATCCTAATCATATATTTTTTAAATTAGATTATAAATTTTAAATTAGTTATATGATTAGTCACTTTAAAATATTCGGATTTAATATATATATTTTCTATTTTGTTATTGATTAATATTATAAATTAACGGTTTAGATTTGTGAAGAATAATTTATAAATTAAATTTTAAAATAAATTAAAATTTCTTTTATATATTCATAAAATACATATTAATTTAAATTAAATATAATTAATTGATAGTGGGTTGTTATTAGTGTCAAATTCTATTTTTACTTCTCGCTAATAAATAGTTAAGTAATTTAATTAGACAATTAATCAATACTTAAAACAAGTTATTTTAAATAAATTTATAGATTAAAAACTGTTTTGGATTGGGTGTGTCCATGGTCCAAATCACCAGTAAGGCCCAATCTAAATCGTGCCACGTGCTATGTTGGGCATTAGATCTTCCGAGCATACCCGGTCACGGGCTATAGGACTAATACGATCATGTCCGTCGTTGCCCGCGACGAGAGACGTCCGCGACGAGAGACGCCTCAGACGAGGAACATCCTAATCCGAGCCTTGTTCGAACACCCTCCTCGTAGGGCAGACTCTCGATCCTCCAGGATGTTTCGGAGTCCTCAGAGCCCCGAGAAGATCGCGTCTTCACCCTCCTTATTCTTCGGAGAGCATCATCCAGGTAGGGGACCACATGCAGGTCCCCACTACTCACGTAGAACCTGGCAGTCCCTTTGTTGGGTCTGTTTTGGTCAACCCAATAAAGGGACCTTGACCCAGCGCTGGGGGCTATAAATATCCTCTATTTCAAGAGGGTCAGGTATTCATTCATTTCACACCTACATATAATTCACCTGCTCATTCGGTCTCTCACTTTATCATCAAAGTGTCTTGCAGGTACCCCCCCCCCCCCCATCTCTTTCAAATCCAGTTCGAACCAGTTGTGACGGTCCAACTCTGATCAGGTACGATCAGTGGCGCCGTCTGCGGGAACCTAAGCTTCCCCGTCTTACAAACTTATAAAGACCAAAGCTAAAACCATCTTCCACCGTCATGGTGTTTACAGTGATTTCTGGTAAACAACCGCTAGTCCTCCAAACTATCGAATAATCTTACTGACTGTTATTCAATCTCTCTGGTAACTCGCAGGATCGACTAGATTGATCCTAGGATGTGTTGGTCATTAGGGTAACTCTCATGATAGAACTGGTATTCATGGTTGGTATTTAGAATGTTGTGTAGGTGTTTAACTTACTTCGATTGCTCTATTAAAGATCTAAAGGCGTGCTCAAGTAAATGTGCGCGAAACTAAATTGCATGAATAAAGTTCAATTGTAAAGACATGTAAAAACTGCATAAAAGACAAGTGAACGACTTCGAAGCATAAAAACATGTAATGTAAAAGATTCTCTGGAATGTAAAAGATTCGAAATATGAAGAAAGCGTTTAAATACAAGAAAACAGTAAAATGACTTTAAGTAAAAAAGGTGTTCGAATGATAAAAGCTTGAAGATAAAGGCATGAAATGTATAACAGTTTCTGAAATGTAAAGTATTTGAAATGGAAAGAAAGCATTTAAATGTAAGGCATCAGTAAAAAGACTTCGAATGAAAACATTTTAAATGCAAAAGCTTTTGAATGGTATTGACATGAAGATAAAGGAAAATACTGGAAATGATAAAGAGTTTTCATTAAATCATAAACACTTGGTGTTATCATACGTACATTGCTCGTGCATTCGTTTCCCTAGCCATGTGGTATTTTGAATGTTTACTGAGTTTTTTTGTACAATAGATATGACACACGAAATCCTAATGCTAAGACTTCTATTTATACTACTTCGACCATAACGGTCTTACTATAAGATTTTGCCACGTTCAGAACATGCAGAGCAATGCCTCTCTCTTGCTTCCACGCGTCTTCGAATGCTCCAGCGTATATATTTCAAATTTCGAACATCCCGCTTGCATTTGAATTTCAAATGTTTTGGCACTTCTTCGCTTCGAACGCATTTCTTGGATACAGCCTTGTTAACATTTCGAGACTTCTTTGAATATATTCTCATAACTGTCACTCGAAGCTCCAAGTTTTGATATGCCCATTCGAAGCACTGCTTCTACCATTTTGAAACATGACATCTTGCTTTATTCCAATCGAAACGTCCAATTTGCTTCGCTTCTAATAATATCATCAAAATCTTCAGCCAACAAAATGCCCCTTTAAAATATGTATTTCGATTCCTTTGAGAAATACTTATTTTAAACATATACACAAGATTTTGATGCGACCTTCGAATCATCGTAACATTTATTGCGTATGACTCCAGTCACGTCAATCACAATGCTTTTCAGATTCCTTAACCGCCTTGAACCATTTCACAGCATGGTGCAGTTACAAAACAATGATTATCTTTAATCACGCCTATTACCAATATTAACTTTACGCCACCTCCTTTTCAAACCAACCCACGACTACCACGTATCACAATCTTACTCAGTGGATGCTTAAACTTCCACATTATAAAAACCCATCAACTTAGTCTTTTCTTTTCTTCCCACATTCTGAATCTTTTCTTCCTTTTTTCTCACCGAAACCCTAAACTTCCAACATTCTTCCAACAATGTCTTCTTCAACTTCATCTCAACTAAAAAAGGCTTCCAAAAAGAAAGGAAAGACCACAGGAACCACAATGGAAAGCAAGGTTGGCACCTACCAAGGTCAATCTGTTCTTGTTCCCCAGATGATCTCAAAAGAGAAAGAAATGCTTTATGCATCCCAGGTACTAATTCCTACTAACGCTGCTGGCAAGAGGTTAGCTTTAATGGGCCCTCTTACAGTCTTTGAAATCTTAAAAGACACCAGAAAAATTTTCCATGTTTGTTATAATTTCAAACCTCTGTTTAATAAAATGGATGCCCCTAAGACAATAGAGTCTTCTGATTCAACCACCGCGGAAAATCCAATCGTTCCCCATAAGGACCCTTTTGTACTAGATTATGTAAAGAGTAACTTCAAACCATTTCGATCTTGCCCCACCTCCGACACATCTTATCACAACTGGTTTAATAAGGTAGAAGCTAAGAAATCCCAGCAATGGGAAGAGTTAGGCATTTACAACTTGATCAAACTATCGAAACCAGGTTTTACTTATAGCCACCCATTGTTATTCGCGTCCCTATATTTTTGGGACAGTACTTACAATACTTTCCATCTCCCTGGTGGAATGATTACACCTACCTTTTTTTTGACATAGCAGCCATTACTGGGTTATCACCAATAGGAGAAACCTATATTCCTGACAATGAAGAGCATTCGAGTATTATTGACTTCGAAGTCAAGCTAGCAAGCTTTTCAAAGTTTATCAGCCACTATCACACTGAAGGAGACAGTGTGTCGGATGTGGAACACATTGCTTTCCTTACTTTATGGTTGTCAAGGTATGTCTTTTGTAGCAGATCCCTACAGGTAGCCAGTAGGTTTATTCCTCTAGCTAGAGATTTGCATGAGAATCGGAGGGTGTGTTTAAGCGAACTGCTATTAGTTGATCTTTACGAGAGTCTAAGGTCAGTTGTTTCGAGTCTGAAATCTCACACCTCCAAGAACATCCTGCTAGCTGGCCCTTTCTGGTTACTCTAGTTATGGCTAAATGCCATGTTCGAACCTTCACTATCAACTGCCAATACTATTGCTGAACAAGACCCTGAAATAACGGATAGGATCATCGAAGGCACTAGGCTGCGAAGACTAACCCCAAACGATGATAAGGATGACTTCAAAGTTCTATTCTCAAAATATATCATGATATTCTCCAAGAGGCATAAGTTCGAAGAGACCATGGCGCCTTTTGCTTCAAGGACTCATGGACCTTCATGGTTCACCATGGCTCTCTCAGAAGCTGTCAAAAGCAAAGAAATTCAAGATGTATGGAGAGCCTTTTTGCTACCCAGACTAATCTCTTCAAGAATTACTCCTGCTAAGAATCAAATTTTCCTTTTTGCTTATCAACCCAACTTCGTTTCGAGACAATTTGGCTTGTGCCAACTAATTCCTGAACCCCTATTCCCAACGGAAAATGCCATCACCTCTGGGCGAACCTTCAAGGCACGAGAAGCCAAACTACAGCAGGAACAATACCAAGGCTTCGCCCATTTTGAACTAATAACTTTCGAACCTACACACCTTACAGCAAAGGGGTTTCTGGAATGGTGGACAAAGTTCTATCAGACTTATATGTTCGATACTCTTACTATTCAGCAGAAACTAACTGATGCATTCGATGTGCAGGTACCATCCAAGAAAGGTATGTTCACTCATGCCAAAGAGATTAAGGCTTTTCAAAATTATTTTGAAACTACTTATGATCCCACACACTTGGAATCCACTGTGCATCAAGCGGCTGAGACCTTGAAGGAAAAACTCAAAGAAAAAGTTTCTAAGTTAAAACTTCCTTCAGGGTTGTCACCTGAGGATAGGTATAGATTGGCATTCGAAATGCATCCACCTAAATTTCCTAGATTACCTACCTCAGAACTGGCTCTGGCTTGGTTTCCTCCATACCCTTGGTGGTT